TGTCTCTTATTGACTTCCGGTGGCTAACCTCTATAAAATTGAGGACACCAATAGACTTTGTACTAAGGTTAGGTTAAACAGACACTTTTGCTGTAATGGAGGATTTCGCCATCGGGGAGCGTGACGAAACCTCCGGCGAAAGTAGTGGTTAGGTTAGGCGGCCCGGTAGTGGTTAGGTAGTTGCCTGTATTATTATTATTATATAAAATTTAAGGTCCCCCGTTAGACTTTACCACGGTCAGGCTAAACAGTTTAGGCTGCTTGGATTATTTCTTTGTCTCTTATTGACTTCGGGTGGCTAACCTCTATAAAATTGAGGACACCAATAGACCTTGTACTAAGGTTAGGTTAAACAGACACTTTTGCTGTAATGGAGGATTTCGCCATCGGGGAGCGTGACGAACCCTCCGGCGAAAGTAAAGTATAAAGTTTAGCGCCCGGTAGTATGGTTAGTTGCCTGTATTATTATTACATATTTCATAAAATTTAAGGTCCCCTTGATTCTTACCACAATCAGGCTAAACAGTTTAGGCTGCTTGGATTATTTCTTTTGTCTCTTATTGACTTCGGGTGGCTAACCTCTATAAAATTGAGGACACCAATAGACCTTGTACTAAGGTTAGGTTAAACAGACACTTTTGCTGTAATGGAGGATTTCGCCATCGGGGAGCGTGACGAAACCTCCGGCGAAAGTAGTGGTTAGGTTAGGCGGCCCGGTAGTGGTTGGTTAGTTGCCTGTATTATTATTATTCTATAAAATTTAAGGTCCCCCGTTAGAATTTACCACGGTCAGGCTAGATAGTGGTGGCTGCTTGGATTATTTCTTTGTCTCTTATTGACTTCTGGTGGCTAACCTCTATAAAATTGAGGACACCAATAGACTTTGTACTAAGGTTAGGTTAAACAGACACTTTTGCTGTAATGGAGGATTTCGCCATCGGGGAGCGTGACGAAACCTCCGGCGAAAGTAGTGGTGGTGGCTGCCTGTATATCTCTATAAAATTTAGGCCGCCAATAGACTTTACACCAAGGTTGGCTGCTTGGATTATTTCTTTCTGTCTCTTATTGACTTAGCCTCTATAAAATTGTGGACACCAATAGACTCTGTACTAAGGTTAGGTTAAACAGAACACTGTAACGGAGGATTTCGCCATCGGGGCGTGACGAAACCTCCAGCGTTAGGTTAGGTAGTAGTGGCTGTCTGGATTATTTCTTTGTCTTACTCAGGCTGGCAAGCCTCGCTAAAACTTTAGGACACCAATACACTCTTCTACTACCAAGGAGAGGTTGTTGGATTATTTGTTTGTCTATAAAACTTCAGGACACCAACACACTCTCTACTACCACCAAGGAGAGGTTGTTGGATTATTTGTTTGTCTCTTACTTAGGCTGGCAAGCCTCTATAAAACTTCAGGACACCAATACACTTTAACCCAGGTTAGGTTAAACAGACACTTGCGCAATGGAGCAGGCCGCTAGACACTGCTGCTGCTGTAATGGAGGATTTCGCCATCGGGGGCGTGACGAAACCTCCGGCCTGGTAGGAGAAGTCTTAATGGATCGCAGTGAGGATGCTGCTCTGCCATCTACAACACCCTGACCGGTACGTAAGTCGTCTACGAACGATTCGGTACGGCACATCAGCATTCGGGTGATCCGCATTTGGGACGGAGAGCCGGCACTGATGACACGACTCCCGAGTTCCCGCATGGGTCCATTCTCCGGCGGTGCAGCAAGCTGCCCGCCAGAGTCTCGTAATATCTTTGACCGTCCCCAATGCGAGCCGTACGCGGTATCGTTGCTTCTAGCCGGGATGCTGCCTTAGAGGCTTTCAGGCATAATCCCACGGACGTAGCCTCGCTCCACTGGCCGATCGACCAAGAACGGAACCATATGTCCGGACCTGCCGCTCTCGTACTGAGCAGGACTACTATCGCAACGACCTCATTTTAACAGTAGGGTAAAACTAACCTGTCTCACGACGGTCTAAACCCAGCTCACGTTCCTGTTAGTGGGTGAACAATCCAACGCTTGGTGAATTCTGCTTCACAATGATAGGAAGAGCCGACATCGAAGGATCAAAAAGCGACGTATGAACGCTTGGCCGCCAGCCAGTTATCCCTGTGGTAACTTTTCTGACACCTC